CACACGTCTAAGTAAAATTTACACAATTAACACAATTAACAAATTGAAATCTTTAAGGTTGAATTTGACAATTGACTGAAGCTGAGATTTCTAATAACCATTGCATAATTTATAGCGATAAATATCTAATACTGCATATAGTATTATGAATCCTATCATAAAATAATTTATATTTAATAAGGATTCACAATAAAATCACGACATATTGATTATTTTGAAATTATATAAATAAAATTCTTTATTATAATATTGGAAAAATGATCTAATTCTGGCCAAAATGTCAGTTTTGACCAATACTCAGCTTTAGTAACGACAAAGGAAATGTAAAAATACCTATGTCTTCTCCAAATCTAAAAAATGGTTACGATTAGATTTATTAGAGAGAAAAAATAAATTTATTTAGTACTTACTTCACCATTTGAGAAACCAACATTGACCCCAAAAAATTCTGTAATTGCTGAATTTGGAATAATCTCATTCATGTCTATTTTAGGGTAAACATCTGCCAAAAAACTTCGGGTTAAATTCTTGTAAATGCGTATGACGTGTCAGCAGGCAGACCAATTATTATTAAAAACGTACCCGGTCGCAATAAAATATCCTTTGCAATCACTGGATCGGTTATGTAACAAAACCACCTTCCTCTAAACTTGCGCTATATAAATGACATTATTTAGTTAATAAAATAAAGTTTATAATTATATATATTTTCTGATAAATTTACCTTTACAATTCCATCCTTCTCAAAATATTTTTTATGATTTGAATATAACTTGTCATCTCCTGCTTGTTTATTAATAATTGCTAAAAATATACTAAAGAATGTAACTGTGTGAATATTTTTAAGGGCATCGGGGGTCTTCAAGTTTATCTTATTAAATGCTATTAGCAAGATAACAACAATCGCTAGAGTGGTCCAAAAAATCATGATTATTGACTTATTAGTTTTAACGAATTGATATGTTTTAAATTATTCGCAAACTATAGTATATAAAAGTATGTGTATAAAACTTTTAATATCAGTCAAATGATCGATGCATAAATTTCATATTTAAAATTTAGGCAAAATTGCTTTCTAGGTAGGGTTGCTGGTGCAGGGCACTTGGCGACGCCAATGGTGCACCATATTGGTGCACCACCTGGCACGCCAGTAT